ATCTTTCTCTATGATCCGTGTTTTTCTTTTTTTTTTTCTCAATTTCTCCTTGATCATACAATAGAAAGCTGACTTTTGATCGTGAACCTCAAGGATCGCAATTCCTGCCGAATGACGGTCGATCGCAGACCGTAACGACGTTCATTTAATAATTAAGAACGTTTCACGTAGTAAAGCGTGAAACGGCGCAGAGCGTAAAACGAGGCTTTACCGATCACAATGAGACGATCGTCGGAAGCCGTGTACAATAACGAACGAGACGATAGTCTGTCGTCTCGCTTCCATCGAAATTCTATCCGTTCATTCCTTTTTCTTTGATCGTTTTTCTAGCGCGGCGATTATTAATTTTGTTTAAACGCTGTGTTTGCGTGCGACTCGAAATTCGCGACTCGAGGAAACGAATCGTTGGATGCTTCGCTTTCGACGTAGCGGTAAAAGACTTGTCAGCACTCTTCGTTGCACCTTGACAAATGCGTGTAAGAAACCAGGGTCGCAGATTCGACCGATTAATGATTAAATTCCACTAAATCTCAGTCGACGAGTATTGTTTAATCGAGATCAACTGCCAATCGATGTTAAATCGAAGATTCGATCTGCGAGCCTGTGAGAAAGAAAGAAAAAGGACGTAGGGCAGTCTCGCTATGTTCGATAAATTGTACTTAATTACAAGAATTTCATGCGAAATAAACTCGCATGCAACGCCGAGTTCTAATCTCGAATTTCCTATCGGATTTGTCTGTGTCTGTGTGTGTGTGTATATATATATAGTTATTTATGTATATATATATTTATATACTATATGTATTATGTATATGCTTAAGTACTAGGCAGTCAAGGTATGCAACAATAAAAAGAACACCGTTTTACCATTTTTTTTTCTTGTTTTTCTTTCTCTATACCGAAGCGTGAACACTGGACAGAGGAATTCGCTGGCGCTTGCGAGAGACGCGAGAGAACAGTGAGGAAACGAGCTCGATGACATCCCGAGCCGTTCCTCCTCGTTGTTGCTGTTGTCATTTTCAGAGGGGGATGGGATTAAAAAGCTTTCGTGCCGCAAGGATAGGATAATCAGGTACTAGGAACAGCCCCACAAAGTTCCGATCCTTTGGGCAAAAGAAAGAATTCTGTGTCATTTCCCCTTTCCAATTTTGCCACGCGATTCGATCGAGATTCGCACATCGTTCCTCGATCCGAGCGGGGAAATGTTATACGCACAAACGACAGACACACACACACATACGAATCTTTATAATTTCGGACCTCACGCCTTATACCAATGACAATAATCGTAGGTGACCATGCAGGAATTCACGCTGGAACATGATTTGAAAGACGAAACGAACGATTTTGTGCCGAGTATATGACACGGTTGAAAATAATCGTTGGATGAAGAGAGGCTCTTGGCGATGATAACAATTTATGATGGACCGATCGTTTTTTAAATGTCCCAAAGGATAGGAACTCCCTCCGTACACTGCCCGCACGAAACGTTACGTTATTGAATATAATACACACCGTATAATAATTACAATAATATGATATTAATTAAGAAATATTATGTTAATAGTTATTTAACCACGTGTATGGCTCAGTCTATTACGCTAGTCTCATGCAACAACAACAATAAAGATACAACAATATATTTACTTGTGTTCGTCTCGTTTAATTACTTGTTCATTTTTACTCCTCCCTTTCTATATTCAGTTGTCCGCCCCGCAGTCATTCCTTAATTTATACATTCTCCCAAGCATTCTCCCTTTCTCTCCCTCCCTCACTCTCCTCCTTTTGGAATTAGAAAAAACTTGGAAATTTATCAAATATCAATCGACTCCCACCATCATCGTACAGTATTATTTCCTCTTTATAATATAATTATGTATAAATAGACAAATCTTTAATTTGCTCATTTCGTTTTTTCATTCACTTGTCATACTTTAATATAAATGTACCTCCTCCTCGTCTTGACTAAGAGACTCGAGTAAGTAATAATAAATGTTGGCGAGCCACGCGAAATCTCGGCGGAAGTCTTTCTTTTGCTTCAAGCAGAAGAAATTGTTTCGTATATTGTATTTACACAAGAAGGTACGGCGTATCAAACATTCTATCATCGAAATTCCATTCGGTTGCAGTGTAAAATTGAATTGGGACAACCTGAGAGAGAGAGAGAGAGAGAGAAAAACAGATAGGTCTATTATAAATATATGTCTCGTGTGTACGTGAGTGGAAACGTTCTGAAAACCATTCTGGCTCTAGCTTAGGAACTATTTAAAAAATACACGCACGTCGTGTACAGACTTGTGTTTCGTACGTGTACGTGTCATGTGTAATCTGCGCGTACTCTGTGCATAGTAGCTATCAAGTCGAATGTGCTGTTTGAACACTAGTCAATTCTGCGACAGGGACAACTGGCCAAGTTAGAAAATGATGTCAGCGCTGACGCGACGTTCGTATTATTTACAATACAATAAAAAGCAAATAATAGTAGAGCGTAATGAATGAAATGTTTTCCTTGCTCAAGTGTTGCTGTGAAATTTACTCGTGGGGAGAATTTAATAGACTTCAGTCGAGAGATCGCGGTTGGCTCGAGATCTTTACTCGTGTTTCTCCCTTCCTGTTCACTTCTTCCAAGTCCTTAAGTAATTATAAAAAATAGTAATATCACAAACATGGCGCAGGCAGAGCAAGGAAGGGACCAAAAATTGGGATGAAGAGTAATGACAATCCGAAGGTCGCCGATTGACGGATCGAGTCGAAGGAGCGGCCACGAATGCAAACATGTGTATACGATAAATTATTCTGTTCTCTGCGCAACATACGGTTCTCCCTGGTCCTTATTCTCATCGGTTTCTCTTGCAATTTTCGCTTCCCGTTCGAAACAACGAGGACGGAAACCGCACGGTTCGTTCCTCGTGATTACGGCACGATGTTTCTTGCGATCATTCTCCTATGCCTTTTTTCGTTCGATCGAAATAGAAGTAGGACGATAAAATAATCTCTTCTTTCGCTGGCGTTTAATCTACGGTGACGTTAAAAATATATTCTCATCGTCGTATTGTACTCGTCACGCGCGTTGCTGTGACCGTACGTACATACAACGGATTATACAATTTTTGATCTAGTGAGTTCACTTGAAGAGTGCTTGAAAATTCGACTGAGAACGACGGCCTCGCTCGTTTTACGAGTCGCGCAAACAGAATCGGTACTTTACTAATCTCTCCACTCTAAATAATCTCGCCTGCGCTAGTTCATCCTGCCAGTTCTTTCATATTTTTCTCTTTTTTTTTGCTTTCTTTTTATTAATAAACTTGAAAGTTTGATTGACAACAGTGACTCAACGACGGTCAGCTTATATTAATTTCTTTATCATCTCCGCTTGAGCTTTTCGTTCCTTTACTCGTTATTTTCTGCACGTTATCATTAACGAATAAAGAGAGAAAATAAGAATTACAGTTTACACTTGTAATCGTAGAAGGTCTGGAAAACGATACTGACGATTGATTTTCATTTGTCACAGATTTCACGATTCTCGATAATATGTTGTTGTTTATTTGCTGTCGTCTTTGTTTTCGTTCCTCATCGTCCTAAACGCGTTTTCATACAATTCAAAAATCGCGTCGTACCAATTGTTCCATCTCTAATTCGCAGTTTACCTACAGATGCAATCTTTATGCATTTTTCATTAGAATGAAAAAGTGCTCGCTGTTTGAACAGGCCCAGAGACAAATGAACCGGAATGACGCACGTTGCCCGGTTGGGCTTTTAAAAGTAAAACACGAGAAGAGACTTCGAGAGAACGAAACTAGAGATCAGCGGCGTATTGGTGCATGTAATTAAAAAAAAGAAGAATTTCCCTAAGACATCGCGATAGATTTCACGTCATAGATTCAAAAACTCTGTGGATCGCACATGAGACACGTTTATATGCCTCCTTATTTAGTTTTTAAATAACATCGTTCCAAGAGGTGATGCGTAAGCAAGAAATTTGAAATACCTATGGTGACAACAAAAATGTCCACTCTAAAATGTATTTTATCTATTTACACTAACGTCTAATAAGATCCTAATTTAATATGTTTAACAAAAAATAATCACAAAATGGTCTGTGGATTAAAACGTCATGCTCGATATACATATATAATCAACAGCAATATATAAATACATATTTTCCGTTTCATTATACGTATGTATATATTAATCTGTTTGAAATGTGTTTCACTCATACATGACGACAGTGTCGTGTAAACCTAATATCACAATTAGCAAGGAGAGAATAAAGTGAGCAGAAAAATTTTGGTTCGGAAAACGAACGGAATGGCACTTTCTCTGCGTTTATATTGAGTTTCAACGTATAAAAATACATACTTTCAAAAACCGTCTGTACACTATGAAATTTCTAACAACACACTCGTCTATCTGTTAGCTTCATATCAAATAAGCAATACTACCATTGTCTAAAAGCTCTACCCGATTCGTCGAAGAGTAGAGCGCTGCGCCCCTCTTACATTTCTGAAAAAAAAGAGAGAAAGGAAAAAAGGGAAAGCAATACTCTAATATATAAGTCTTCGATCACAGTAGTTCAGCAAGCTCTATAACGTGAGATCTACGCTCTTTCGTATCATCAATTCTCCCTTTTAATTCGTGTCTCGTTTCATTTACGTTCCGCAAGTACACGTGTATACTTGGTTTTCTCCAATCACGTCGATCGAGAAATTCGTTTAACTAGTTGGGCTAGTTGGCCGCCAGCACTTTCTTGTCTCGTTTCAGTATGCGAGAATCAAACACTTGGACAGTGTTACACACAGCGCTAATGGAAACGGAGTGTACAGCGTGTAGGTTTTTTGTTCACTACGTTAAGGTACCATTTTTGTTTCTTTTTCACTTTATATCGTTCTGCAATACGGTTTAGCGTCCAAGTTTACGATACCTTTTTGCTTGTAAAGCGGTCGGTGACCCCATCGCGATACCTCCCTCCCACCCATCCCGCCCCCCTACCCGCCCACCCACGCGTTGCATTTCGGCCCATGACATTTTGTCGTTGTTATTTTGTCGTTCTCATTTTCTTCGTTTCATTCTCATTTCGTATTATCGGTTTTGCTCTTTTGTTTTTTCCCCGTTTTTATTCTCGCTGGCTGCAGCTCTGATCGCGCGTTATTAATTTCCCCGAGAGCCTGACGGTGACCATCATAATACGGTAACGACAACGATGTCGATGAGAAGAGGCCGTGGTTTCACCCACCCACCCTGTCCACCCATTGTTCTGTTTCCCGCCCAACCCCGTTTCGGCCTGCCCCATAAAGCGGCCTTCTGTAATAGACACAAGCATATTATTTCATTTTCAATCTCACATTCTCTACACCGAAAAAGCGATCATGCATTTTAAATGGTCTTTGTTACTCTGAATCTCTTCGTGTATACGCGAAACTCTTTAAAATTTCGGTACATTGTGTACGAATCGACAGTTGTTGAAAAGAAACTGCTACTCTTTGCAGCATGGGAGTAGAGAAGAGAGAAATCGACTCACCGCATTTAGGCGGGGCTGCTCAGACGCCATACATATTATGGAGCCGTTCAGTGAGCTGCGGTGGGAATTGATCTGAGAATCGTTTCCAATTTTCCGCACCAACTTGATTTTTGAATCCGTGGAGTATCTGAGATGAGAGAGATCGATTCAGTGGTACGGCCCGAGGATGAGGCAAACGAGGAAGTAATAAACTTTTGCATCGTACCTTTTGGAACATGTCTTTGAGGTCTTCTCTAGGTGTGACCCACGAGGCAACAGCGTCGCAGAAGAAGATGAAATCGGCTACGACTCCTGCCGGGTTCACGGTGATCATCTGACACATACCTCTGAACGCTGAATCCTTTTCCTCGTTGTCCCTTATGCTCCGTAAAGAAGTACACCTGACGAACGACGCGCGCGTTAAAAAGAGGATCGCGCTAACGATTTGCGAAGAAGGTACCTTCATCTGTACGGCAATCAAATGCAACGGGTTTTGTTGAAATGATCAATTCAGATTTCAACCGATGGCAATTACGATGAAGTTACCTTCTTTTCAATTAATACTATTCACATTCATAAGAACATGATCATGGGAAAAAATGATATTTAACTAATCACTCGATACGATATTCATTCCCACGAGTTGTACACGATCTTCATAGCTAACAATTAACGTGGCTTTCTCTCGTGGCCGGTCCTATACTTGAACATCCTACGCTTTACCAAACTTTACCTTCGTTACGTTTCGTAGTGCTAAAAAATGATAAAGTTCGAACTATCGATCTACAGAGAAAAAAAAAAGGAATCAGTCTAGTCTGATCGTAGGACGGAGAGTTCCTGTGAACACTCTTGTATCATTTTCTAGCATTTCGATGTGACTGTAGTATCGCTAAGGTTATTATTAATCAAGGCTTGGTTTACATTTGACACCGTCTCGTTTTACTTTCTGCGATTCTCGATTTCGGCGAACGTAGGAGACACCGACGGTAATCGCGGCAACAGCGACATAACTGAGATGATGTATTTAACAGATATCGATGCCAAGTTAATTTACATGCAAGTAGGACAATCCTGATTGAAACTACCTGTACACAGTGAAAATTATACAAAAAAATATACATGCAGGGCCGCATTTACCGTAAGACGCACTAAGCGCAAGCTACGAGGACAAGTTGATCTCGAGGTCTCGTAACGACGTTACGCATAGGGCCTCCGAGAGTCAGTGTAAATGCGGCACTGGACACATGTCTCTAAATTCGAATGCAAGGCAATCATAGATAGTGGCTAATTGTCACAGAGACCTAATTGAAAAAAAGGAACGTGACAAATGTAAACCTACCCTATATAGTATTAAACGGTATAGTTAAGAGCCCATAACGTACTTGCATGACGGCGAGAAATTAAATGCACAAAGTAAATTTAAAGAGTACATCGACACTGCAAAAACCATTGGGCAAGTATAGCAGTAGTAAGTAAGTAAGTAGGATAAACTATGCCCGCGTTTAACGAGAGAGAGAGAGAGAGAGAGAGCGCATCTTCTGGATAATACTTGTTCGCCGATAATACATAGAAATAAAATTATTATGGACTCTGTCATAGAACCAGCTACTGAGGATGTTCTTGCGCAAGAGTTCTTAGCAGCCCCTGAATGCAACGTTACTGAAGAGTACGGGAATAATATAATAAAGTGCTAATAAAAATAGAAGGTATATAATATAATTAATAGAATATAATAATAAAGAAATTTACACACCACTGTCGGACAAACTGCTGTAACATGGGGGCGACGTCGTGGGGACACACGTAACCTAGGCGACCGATCGTTATGGCTACGGTTTCATTTTCATTTTCGGTAAGTAGACAAGTGAAGTGTAGTGAAGTGACCGGAAACACAAACAATAAGACAAACTGATAGCGAACCAACGATCAACTCAGGCGAATTGTATGTCGTAGGTACTGTCTATTATCTTTAGTGAACTTGGACCAATTCATAATAACCACCAATTGATAATAATTAATAATAATCAATTACAAGTATTAACAATCGATAGAGACAGTGGGAACAGAGGTGAGAAACATATGAAATACCGACAATGAACATAGGCAATACCGTGCTATTGTAGCTGCTGAAACAATAATAAAAATTAGATAGCAGCGTGCGAGCCCATGAACTCGATAAAGAACCGATACATATGAACATGAGTAATAATCTCTACCAATAAATATATCGGATATTATATATAAATCAGAATCAACAAAGAAACACAGAACTAAAGAATTTTTCTCGTCGACTGTACAGAGGCCAATTTAAAAAGGTATACACCGTCGTTGAAACAATATCTGGGGCAATTAGACAGATGCAAGCATAGTAATATCGAATTGCGGTATGTTTCTTATGGCCGTACAGCCGTGTAAAGCCTGCAGGCAATCGCACACCACTAAATCAGGTCCAATATACAGACACTAAGAATTTAATAAACCCGCTGATAAAGAAACGTGCAAGCGTGGTCACTTGAGGAACCACTCGAGGTCGTCAGTCTGTGTGGTTATTTACCTTCGATCAAAGTCATTTACAGAAAATGCACCTAAATTCAAATTATGCCACCGAATATGCTGAATCTAACGTGAGGACTTGCTTTGTATATTTGGGAGACTTGTCATTGAAAACGGAACGAGTATAATCGTCTCGCGTGAGCAGGCTTCTGTACGGTAGTACTTGCAAATATTTCGAGACACCACGCGAACGCTACGACGCCTCAAATGAAAAGTTTCCCCTCTGTGTGCAGAGCATACTTCTAAGCAAAAGGTACTTTTACTTCTACTTAGATATGGGTGATGGTAACAATGACAGTGATAACGGTAATCGGTTGTTATCTCAATACTGAAAAAACTGCAAGTTTACTACGCATTATCCCCTACCATTTAAAAGTATGCTCCATGGTACTATACTGTGTAGAAGAAACTAATGTAGTTGAGAATATCACACAGATACTCACCTGTATTTTCTAAGAGTGTTTTTGGCGTGTTCGGTCTGTTGATTATGTCGATGAGTTGATTCAATATTAATGGGATATACGCGCTCGTGTCGGACCCTACGAACACGAAAGGGGCGCCAATTATTATTTACCAATAATTCCAATTGCAACGTGAATCAGATTGTTTAAACATGTCTTACCAAGTTTTATAGCGATCTCGCCGATAGCCCACGTTGCGTTGTTACACACAGATATGAATTCAGGATTTAAATTCTGTCCAAGTATCGGCATGAATTCCGCTACAAATTGGGTCGATAAATAAACGTGTTACAGATCATGGACGAACTAATAAATACTCACGTATGCATGGGAGGACGTGTTGGAAGCAAGCCTTTGTTAGATCTCCTAGCAGAGCGAAACTGCTTTGTCTGACTTCGGGCATACCGTCCTGCATGCACTGATACAACAGTTGCATAACGTTGCTGTTCATTACTAGACTTTCCATGTGCCCGTCCAGACCTTCCGCCAAACCGCTGAGAAGATCCAACGCAACGATCATGAAATCTTTATCAGGCGCCTCGAATTGTTCCGGGCTCTGGGTGTTCGCTATGTGTTGATTCAAGGTCTGCTCTACTAGGGATACGCACCGCCTGTCATAAAAAATACATGTAAAATTTAGACATCGGTCACGGCCAACAAAGACCGACCAACGTTCACCGTTGAAGGTTCACCTGTATACTGGTTCGCAATAAGGAAGGAAACCGGATCGCAACGCAGTCGCTACAGAGGAGAGACACTCTAACAACGGGAACAAGTCTTTGTCCTCGTCTTTCAGTACGTTCCACTTATTGATCAGCGGTGGCATCAGAAGGTTGATGTAATCCGGTTTGTTGAGATGGTGTCCCACCGAATCAGCGAGGGTACCAATCGCGTCGTATAATATTAAAAGGTTTTTATGTTGATATTTACCTGGATAAATGGTGACGATCAGTAACGGAATAAATAGTCGAGAGGTGTGCCTTACCAAAAGCGAAGACGAGCGTTTCAAGAATAAATCCAAGATAAGGGACTAATTCCGTGCACGCCTCTTCCTCCAGCGTCGCAAAGGCTGAGCATGCTGCTTCCTGGACTCGTTTATTGCCATCGAGCACTCGTTTCAACAACTCGGTCATCAAAGGTTTCAGATGCGTATCGTGTGGTTGCGCACAGACCCAGTGTGCGTAACGACTCAGGGTCCAGCACGTGATGGCGCGCACTAGTGCTTTCTTGTCGCTCAAGCAATTAATTAAATATGGAATTAATTCTGACAAGTGTGGAATCATTCCACTCATACAACCTGCAACAACGTTTCACGTGTCAAGTCAACCTTCAAAGACATATCTTTACATCGTATGAAATTGTTGGTACTAAGGTACCTTCCGCTATGGCTCCCAGTGCCAATATACCGGACTCTTTGATTTCCCAATCTTGATGGAAAAGAGTCTCTTTTAAAATTGGTACTAAAACTGGTAACAATTCCTCTCTGAATACATTCGCTAACATGTCTAGAGCCGCTGCAGAGCATTTCCTTAAATTCCAATCGCTGAGCGACGTGTCGTCGTCGCAACCGTCCTCGGCGTCGATGTCCTCCTCGTCGCAGCCTCCGTTCTCGTTCGAATGTTTATTGATACTACCGTGATGGGAGTGATGCGTTTTCGATTTGGGGAATCTTGGTCTGATGTCTTCTTCCCTGTCCGGAATCATCTCATCCTCCTCCACGTCTCCCTTCAGGAGTATTATATCAATTTCCGAGTATTTCATACCTCTTACCTGTGAAAATTCATTAAGAAATTCAGTCGTTCATCGTAATTTTATTTGGGAAACTTAATTTATTCCGTACGCTACCTACCAATATGGGGACTAAACGGGGTAGATGTGGTGCAAGTGCTTCTTTACAAATTGGTTGCTCAGCTAGCGAAAGCCAAAATTCACAAGCTTCTAAAGCAACTCCCTCGTCAGGATCTTGAGTCCTCATTAACATGTACTCTATTATATTATGCATGTGTGGTATTAATCTATCCATTCGAACTTCAAGCAACATAACCAAAGCTCTATGGAGAGAAATCATAAAACAAATGTTACACAGTATAAATCGTTCGATACACTTTTGACGGAGGAAACGGAAATCTCTTCGTACCTGCAAACATTTTTTCTAACTTCGGGATCTTCGTCGTTGGCTAAGTGGAAGAGGTTCTCCAAGAAGCTGTCTATATGAATCATTAGGGCCTGTGTACGATTAACAATAAACTGATTAACACAGGCGATAGCATGTGATCTAATTTTGGGGCTCGAATGTCTGAAAAATTGCAGGAACTTGGGGATTAAAACGTTCAGAGGTCGATTGAGCGCGTCGGAGTCTAATATCTCTGCAGAGTCTTCGCATATCTTTTGAAGAGCACCGAATGCACCTTCGCAAACGTTGTAATCCTGGGAGTCCAACATTTGACAAAGGGCAGGCAGCAGCTCCGGCCATCTGGTCAATTCACCTGTTTCAAAAGACAAGTCTCGTAGCACCGTGTTGTTCGTTTAATCGTTACCAGTAGTAGCAGACGATGACTATACCTTTGGATGCAATGGTAGTTATCAAAATGCCGACAGTTGCGCGAATCAGAGGCGACGGATCTCCAACTGCTGACAAGCATTCTTGCTTTATAAAATTTGTGACTTCCGGTAAAAACTTATAAAAATGAGCTTTAACGTTATTTTTCAATATCAGTCCGCTTAGAGACCTCGTAGGTTCATCTTGAAAAAAGAGATACAATTAAATTCACACACAGGGGTAACGAACAGAAGAAACTGTACTCGAAATACCTACCCTCTGATGTTAGTTTAGTTAAAACGAAAATAAGGTAATTGTTAAAGTCTGGAAATGTATTCAATTCTTCTAATTTCTGAAGAGAATTGTTAAGGAAAAGTTTGGACAATGTACACGACTCGATATAAGACACACATTTAGAAATGAAGAACTATTGTATGTTTGCATAACTACAATGTTTATCCTCGCATCATTGCATAACGAACAGAGCGAACATTTTTGAATTACAGATACGTTAATTCGTTTTTGAAATTACAAAACTTGCGACATGTAAATATGTGCGTATGTATGAAAACGATACGAGAAGTGTGCGAAAAAAAATTCGAGATTCCGTACGATAGTCCCATTATTCGGCAACTAGGATATCGTTTGTGACAAACGTGTTCCGCGAACATTTGTTTCTACGTGTCACTTGCAAGCAGTTTAATTAATATTATGGCCGAAACTACGTGCGAGATTTATCGATTACGATGTCAGAAAAACAAACTCGACGCCGACACTAACGGCATTTCTGACGCGCCCCGCGATATGATGTATCATTAACATATTTCTTGGCGCTTGAGTATCACTCACGTGTTATTCGAGAAAAAGCTATCAACGTCTGGCGAGCCACTCTTTCGTGTTCTGAACGTAACCGTAACGACGGGCCCGTCAAAATGAACGCGTAACCATCACGAGACGGTTCGCGTATCCGCGGAAAATCGTAATCGTTGGAATACGAATATTTCAGAACAGTTTATCAATCGAACCGTGGTAGACGAGAAAGAAGAGGGCCCGTGACAGGCTGCGCAAAAGCGCGCCGAACATTTTCCCGTCCCAGATCCGGGCGAGTGTCGAAAAACCCTCGAAACTGTCCGGTATCGTCGGCCAAATGTCTTGGCACGTTCCCGAACCTAATCGAAGAGGAGCACGGTGATTCTAGCACGGCGAGAACATACGCCCCATTGATCGGACCTACCCGCTTTTCTTCATTGCCGCGTCGCGGGTGTACTTACCGGGGAATAAAAATCGGTCGAACGAACTTTTCCGTAGCACAAAACAATTCGCGATCGAATGAGAAAAGGATACTTCTTGCACGGCGCGTTGGGTGACCGTATCCGGGCTCTGGGACTCCTTAAGGAGCGTCAAGATTTGTCTAAGTCCTTCCTCTTGCGGTTGCCACGCCATTTTCATCGTGTTTTTCAACAGCACCACTGAACGCAGCCAGCCTTCTCTGACCTCGCAGATAAACGGAAGCTCCCCACGGTTACCCCCACTACCCGGCCACGAAAGCATTTAGAATACCGGCGCGCCACGACACGATTGTTCGTTAAATTATCGCCAAACCCTATTTCCGAACCCGCGATTAATCGTACAGACCAATTAGACCGATATTAAACATCGTTTCATAACGATATTCCATTTTCGCGTAATTCATACGGATGGACAATTGAACGTTCTCGGTGGTTAGCAGGCGAACACTTCCGGCGATGCCAGTGACATCGATCGGTCTATCGTCCGGATCTTGGCAGCTTTTTTCAAATTCGTCACCTCGCCAACGAACGATGCTCTTCAGCGTTATTCTTTAATACCAAGTTTACCGATTGCCCGGACTATTGTGATTTCACTCGGGGAGACTCGATGTATTTGGCAAAGCGTTTATTAAATTTGTTTCGTGTATACATATATTTTTGTAACTTTTATTAAAACGTTATTAAAATTCAAAGGAGATACAGCGTAGAAAAGCCAACTGCTTACAGTGATCATTGACTTATTGACAAGTTTATGCACACTGCATCAACGACCTCGGTCTCCATATTTCAATTCCCTCTGTACCAGATATAGCGAGAACATTGTTTAAATAATCCGTCTAAAATAAATCGAAGCAAAATTACAGGTCGATACGAACACGTCGGGTAACACGATGGGCTACTCACGCTAGCTATTTCACCGTAACTCGAATTTAAAGTAGTCAGATGTTGCGGAGGGTCCGTAGGACTGGAAATTCGCACCGTAGCGTCCATAGAACTTGTAATCAAACATCCAGGTGCAGCGTGAACGCCGTTGATACCTTTCTTATGTTCAGTGCTGTAGCACTTGACTGGCTTAAAGTTCGCTTTCGGATCGAGTACATGCAACTTGGCATTGCCATCTCCTACGTAAACTATGTCCCGCTGCATGCACATGCTCATAGGAAACGATTCTTGCGAAATCTGAAACGAAACGCCTTGAATCATTGATGATCGTCGTTCTCGTACATTTATCGTCGTGTCTTTACCGTGACATTTTCCATGATCTTTCCCGCTCTCTGGTCCCACACGGACACCGTTCTATCCTCGCTACCGGATAAAATGAAGTGAGAGTTCATGACCAGTCGAATTACCGCTCGCCTATGCGGTCGATAGTGTATAACAGGTTTATAGTTTACTCTTTGATCAAATACAAAGATGGTTCTACAGAACGATCCTGTGGCGAAGAGAGCCAGCTCTGGACAGGACGCGACGCACAGCAAAGCGCCTGTGACACTCCTGAAGGACACGTTCGACATTAGACATTTGCTAAAAACGATGCGATATTTCGCGCGGTCACTTGTGGCAGAGCGAGTGAAAGCAGAGTTCTCTCGGTCGATCACCCTCTGTCTTTCTAGTAAACGTTAAAAAAAAAAAATACGTATTCGCAGTTTAGTACTGTGCTCGTGAAATGTACTTTATTGGTCGACTATCTCTTAAGAACCAAAGGGTTTGTGCCTTTCTCGCTCGACCTTCCCATAACGAGAGCAGTGAAAATGACCAGCTGTGGTTTCATGTACATCTCATAAGTTTTGGAGTGAACGAGACCGGTGTTTGTCAGCGTCCATGATTTCACGGTCTGGTCCCAGCTGCAACTATAGACCGTGTTATCTATCGCTGCTAGGTCCCAAATCCACCCGTCGTGAGCAAACTCTATACATTTGTAGCTGCCCTTTTCGTTTCTCTTTGTAGAAAGCTTCCAACATACTAGAGATCGATCTCTGGCTCCTGATATGCAAATGTTCCCGTCCTGCATTAACGCACGAGTGTTATCGATTCTGTTCCAATTTAACAATGTATCGCAAAAAACAAGATACTAGCCTGCATTAATAGTAAACCATCGATAGTACTGTATTGGACTTTATCATGTAAAGACAATTTTTCCATAGAATCTTCTTTCCCCCATAACGATATCTGTTTCTCTAGTGCAACGCACGATAATTTCCAGAACAGCTCATCATCGTCAGCTAAAAGTAAGCGTCTTATGAATACACGTACGTAGGAACACGTCCTGAGAAAGTAATGCCAGAAGATTAAATTTGGGAAACCTGCGTGTATAATATAAAAATTCGTTCGTAATTTGTTTGTGCCTATCGAGAGGAGTGGCACTAGATACTGAGTACAGTAAGTAGACAGAGTTCTATTTATTTACAGAATGATCGGTCGTGCAAGACACAAGGTGCTATCAATTTAGAGCTAACCAGGAGGCAGAACCGGATAACAAGTATCTGGCCAAATCTGTCTTGTCCTCATTCTCCATTGCAAGTTGTCGTTTAAAATGTGATAAAACTGTTTACACGCTAAGCTCAATCCGTGCACCAGTGTGGCTGCGTCCAAGAAGGAGCATATATGGAAGAATATCTGAAATAAATATAATAGGATAAGCATATGAATTTTTTTTATAGTCATTCGTCACAGCTCGTTGCTGTCCGAGTTTGTTCAACTCTAAACTTTTACTTTGGTGAAACTTGATTGAAAGATTACTTTCTGTCAAATCTTTACCGAAACGGACGTGCCTATGTTAATAAATTTATTCCATTGCACTCCATCTGATGTACTGGACGATTTGCCTAACAAATTTCAAGAAAATCGAACAAGTTTAATCGAACGGCGACAAGTGTTGAGCAATTTTATATCCTACATTTGATTCCGTATTAGTCGAAACGATATGCGTCATTCCTTATTGCGTATCGAAAACGATTGTAATCGTGAAAATTATTGTGTACGAACCTCGACCGGAAGGTCCAGCAAAGATAATCGGGCGTCCGTTTCATCGGTTTCGACTGGAGTGGAACTCTGTTCTTCATCGCACATTTTACTTCAAAATAGCCACTGTACAACGTGACGCTTTTAGACACTGTCATTCGATCGACTGTTGAACGAGTGACTCGGTCCGTAAAGGCAAGAATTAATCGTGACAGATTTATTTTTTATATCGTCGTTGTTATTTACCGTTTTGGTCCTCGTGCGCGACACAGCCTTATACGCTCGCGCATGACTCATTTCACCATCACTTTGCCTACCTCCGTTTTGTCTCCACCGTTGTACCTGGGATGAAAACGGGAACATACTGTCGACCCAGCTGACATGCATAAATGTGAAAATTTAATTTTCATTCAGCAGTACAAGCAAGTGCTATGGACAGTTCTCGTCTGCCCAACGTTGACAGTTTGACAGTTAAATATTTTGAACATCGAACCTATCGAACTGAAGATTTCAAATCTTTTATTTTAGTGTGAATGTACGAAAAATTTGAATATTTTGAACGATGGGTAAGTAAAAAATATGAAGATGAATGCAAGTTTGTGTATGTGTGTGTGATGTGAGAAGAGGAATTCTATTTCTCTTTAAAATCTGTGTTCCAGAAAATCTTGAACAACAATGCGAGGACGCCGTCTTTGAATTATGTGATGCCAGGGAACAATTTCCATCACTTTGTGCCAATGAACTTACGAAATGTATTCAAATTAAGAATGATATAAACGTAAATAGCTTATTTTCCGCATAATGAATTTGGACTGCAATGAATACGATGCTTCCGTTTGAACTAATGCAGTTCACTGAGCAAATAATTTTGTTCTTTGCAGATGTCGAAGGTGTCAGGAAAGCCATCTGTGATAGACAAGTCATCCACTTCAGAAAAAGGGGAACGTTTGGATTTAAATGTTAACCAAGAAGAAATATGCTTCGACCATTTGGACTCTAGGTTACAGAACGTTATAAGCACGTTGAATAATTTGAAAGCTGTCGTGGATCAAACTGAACGAGAAAAGCAGTGCCCTATAAAAAAATTACTGCAAGACTAAATAGCTTCATGCTCATTTCTGATTTATTTACAGTTGCATTACACGTAAAATAATATCAACTATTCCAATCATAAATTAAATTGTTCATAAATATTCATACAATGTTGTTAAAAATGAAATCCATGTTCACGTTGCACAAGGACCTACTATCGATTTTCATTCAAGTCATAAACATTTATTTAGGTCTATACGTTTTACAAGGACCTTGGCACCCCGTGTAATGTCTTCAAAGAATTTTGACATTTGTACATGCATCTCGCAATCATTGGTGGCATTCTGCAAATGTAATGATTTTCTTCTTGGTCTAAGAGACTTTTCAATTATCTTGCGTCTTTTCTGCGAATATTCCATGCTTTTGTGAAAGTCTTCTGTAATATTTTTCAATTCACCTGAATACAAACATTCACCTTTGTTCGCTTCTTCTGATTCCTCTTCGTTTAGCTTTACGTTTTCTTCCGTCGTGTTAGAAACTGTTGCTTCTGGCTCTAACGTCGCAGATAGTTTACTCTCATCATTCTCTTCAGCATCTTTATCATCATTCACAATCGTCCGGTCTGTGCGCGGAGTATTTGAAACATCAGTTTCGAATTGTACAGTGCAAATCTTATCCTCTTCCCCACGTGGTTGTTCTTCCTGTATATCGATCGTGTTTGCTTTGTTCATTTCATTTTGATTGTCCGATGGAACGTCTTCCATTGTTAATCTATCTTTCAATATTTTTCGTAACGGGGAAGGTATCTCGTTGACGGTAATAAGTCGATTTGAAATAATTATTGGAGAATTTATTTTGGATCTTCTCTTATTACTTGAATTCGGTCTATTTACAGACTCTAATTGTTTATTCATTGACTCATTCATTTCATCTGTTGATAGATTTTTACGATTCGTATGATCGTGTCGCGGTGTAGGTTGTAGGAGATAAGGTTGTAAGTCATCATTTTGTAATGCTTCGGGTATGATATCTTCGTCTTCTTCCGCTGCAGTTTCCGTTTCTTCTAATCTCGCCTCCCTTTGTTCTCGCTCAACCTGTTGCTTCCCTTCTTCACGTTCTCCTTTCTCTTCTCCCATAGGTGTCACATATTCCCGAGGTTCTGCGTAACCACTGCTCGTACCAACTAAGGCAGAGTCGTCGGCAGTTTGCTGTTGTGCATGTTTTAAATCAGCCGTGCCGCTGCATTCATTAACTTTATTATCTAACGATCGATTCATCCAAGGGTAACACTGAGCGATTACGCTTCGACGTTTACTTTCAAATTTATTTCCATTTGGGGATTCAATCATCGTTATCAGATTTTCCATGCCGAGTAAACTAGAGTTTCGTAAACGTTTTTCACCCTCCTCCGTTTCAATTTTCTCCGAATTCTCTAATACTTCGTCCATTTCCAGTTCAGTCTTTTGTTCTATGACGGCGACAGTGTCCTGTCCCTGACGGATTGTAAACATTAATCCTTCCATCACTAAATCTGTAATGTCAGAGGATCGTTGAGAATTGTCTAGTTCATACTTTCTCTTCTTAGAGTGAGGCAAATCTTGCAGTTGTCTATCTGGCTGTGACTCTGCATGATTTTTAGTATCCGTCTTATCCTCTGCTCCGAGTTTACGTTTTCTCACATTTTGTCCCGTAGTCTCTATTTCTTTTTCTATTAAATACTGATACGGTAGATTAGCAGAGTCAACATTATTATCGTCATTCAACGTTCTACTAGCATTTGAACCGATTAATTGTTGATTAGCATCTTCTTTTGCATCCTGTTGGTTCGATTTCTCCTCGTCGTCCATTGCACGATCTCTCTTTGAAGATGATCCGACATTTCCATCTTCTGAATAACTCGTCTCACCCACCAATGAACCACTGTCGTTTATTTCATCGTTTAACGATACATTATTTTCGGAGGTTGCGGGTGTCTCAAATGATACATTTAGATTGTTATCAAGTTTATTCGTATCTTTGTTCGTACATACACTTTCTTCGTCCCGATCTCGGTAATGGAAAGAGTGATCGATTGGAGGGCATTTCAAATTCTGTCCTGAATCAGACGGACTGTTTAGTTTTATAGTTAATATGAATGCATGAGAAAACGTGTTCAATGAGCGCTCGTCAAACTTGAGTAGCGCGAAAAGTTTATCCTGCTTGTTCCACCACGTTAGATCTATTTGATTACGAGGCAGAGTTAAGAGATAAGTTTAAATAGTACCATAAACGCGGCGTTGTACATTAGGCAAAGGATACTGAAGGTAATTAGAAGGTGGCTCGTACTAAACTGTTGCCCCTGTGCTGGTGGATTCTTTATGATCCTCCTAATCACTTTCATTAATTCTTTACCAAAACCAAACTCCGTTACATTCCTTTAAACGATACGTATTTACAAAACTGTTACATTGGGAACATCATTAGTATAAAAACTAATTACCTATTAGAACGGTGGTACCTAAAAATAAATTTGTATATGTCATTCTTGTGACACAGCCAGTAAGAACCAGGTACTGTTAAGTTGGGGTTCTCCTCCCTCTGGGTCCAATCGATCCAGTTAGCCTTTCGTACATATATTCCAGGCATTTTCTCTCTGGTACGAGATCCTTAAACAAAGGAACCAATCTTATGGAATCCTTTTCACCGAACGATTCCTTCACTATAACTGTGAGATAATATAATACTCTTTGCTGAAAGTCAAAGCAGATGTTAAACGTGTGTCAGAAAACAAGTGGAATATAATTGTGCTTACTCCTGTTATAACTTCATTGATAAATATATCTTCCACTGTGTCCCAAGGAATAAATTCGCACGATGTCAAGCCATAAAATGTTCCCTTTCCTTCGGTGTATATACCAACAAATTCAATGACTGTTAATGTATCTGTAAAACAGAAATTCCTTCAATCTACTAAAATGTAACTCTTGTACCTCGAATGCTCAGGGATTCCTGATGCTCGAGATCATTTGACGCACCTTTATTTACAGATGTGATGAAGCTAACGAACTGTAGTGTTAATATTAAAATCGACACGACAAGTGGTATGAAGATATTGAATGCATTCCATAGAAAGAACGTTCCAACTAGCAACAGTAAAGTCGCATTCGCGTTTAAATATACATTTTTGTACAAGACGAATTTCATAACATTTTTAGCTTTCACGCTTTTGTCTATCAGCTTTATTCTATCGCCATTCACGCTCCGAAAGTGCAATTCAAGCGAGGATGAACATGTGGACGACATTAATGACACTTTTCTACTTTTTCGCTAATACCGAAGATGTCTTCACTGAACAGAAGAAAGATAAACGTCTTTGTAAATTGACAGTTTCCAACGTATATTTCAAAAAGCATCCCGTACCGTCTAATGACAGATACTTTTGTTTCTCAATGCAAGTATATTTATCGATTCACCACAAGATATGAAAAAAATGGAATAAAATGCGAATTCTCTTCTGAATTAAAACGTACTGAGAAATGGTACATTAAAATTGACAGTTGCAGTTTGACATGAAATCGTGTCACGAGTTTTGTTGTTATACCGTATACTTATTATTCACGCGCGCAGAACATATATTTAGTTTAAAAAGAAGACGAACAATATACTATCGACACCGAATCGACTTCGCTGATTAAAATAATAATGACTTAATTAAACTGATAAATATGGTCCAGAGAAAATCTTATAAACTGTTATAAAATATATATAGTTTGTAAAAGAATATACCGGACAGTAGTTTCTATGATTATTTCTCTAGCAAGTAGCAAAAGCGCCAAGCCATCGCAGAGCAGAACGAATGGAACGTTGAGAACCGATCTTGAAGCTGTGATTTTAGATACGTACAATACAAATGAAGAAGATACAATTTTCAACATAGAATTCAGCGAGTATGATTAACGCTTACATATATTATACTTAAGTTAGATAGAATCTTCAATTATCTGTTCGTCGCATTATAAATTCTTAAGATTGCGAAGAGAGAGAGAGAGAGGAAAAGCAGTGTCGTGAGATTTGAGGAATTTCGACCGTGATCTCGACCCAACGTAGATAGGGAAACTAGGGAAAACTAAAATCTAAAAGGCAAGAAGTGCGCAGACGTGCTGTTTGTGTTGAATTGCTCATCATTGCTCATCCCCCGTCGCCGTCGTCGTCGTCAGAGGGAGTGAAACAGCACCTGCTGCCTGCCTGCTGCCATTCTGGCATTACGTCAATGGTGGACATCTCATTCGCTGGTTTGGGAGGAGTTACCGAGTTACCGTGACCGCCATTGTTACAGCTCTTTCGTGTCGAGGAACGTGATCTGTGAAATTCGTATCGTCGCGTTAGAGATTTTTACAGGATCGTGTCCAGTTTTTAGGTACCCGAAGCTACGGTACACGATATTAGCGAGCGCGTTCTAAGCGTAGCATGTCCACGATGAATCCTGAATAGTGAGTAAACTTGTTTTTCGCGCAGACATAAGTATTTCTAGGAACGTTCGTTTCGTAGTAACACGTAATCAGTCGTTTATAACTTCAACAACGGCGAACGAAGATCAATCAGATCGATGCTGTTCGCATATTAATGTATATCGTGTTAAATCTGAAAGAGTTCTGTTTCCTACTCTGCTATCTGACAGATTCACTCTTTCCCCCACTCTAGTTTGTCCATGTTCACAAGCCATATTTTAGAAAATTCGTTCTTTGTGTTGTCTACTATTTCTTTTCTTTCTTTATCACTGATTGCTCATTCGAAATTGTATAGCTTTCGTATCGATGACTCATAAGAGTATTTTAGATGACTATTAGAAGCAAGACGCGGTAATATAAAACGTACTAATGTACAAGCCAAAGTTCACTTCTTTGTGTTACACTCTGTGAACTTTACATTCAGATATCAATGTATTAGGAACAAGTTTGTAGTACAGTAACACTATTTTATGATATAATTACAGGAAACAGATATCTGTGAAATATGTAATGTTGATATTTCTACCTGTCGTTTAAAATTCATGTTCACAACGAAACGCATTTAATCCAAAACTTGATTTAATCGTAGTAAAAAATCTCGTTTTACAGTGATTACTTGTTCAAGTTGCTTTTAATTGGAGATTCTGGAGTTGGAAAATCCTGTCTCCTGCTCCGTTTCGCCGATGATACATACACAGAAAGTTACATCAGTACTATTGGCGTAGATTTTAAGATAAGAACAATTGACCTAGACGGGAAAACGATAAAATTGCAAATCTGGGATACAGCAGGTCAAGAAAGATTTCGAACCATTACAAGTTCTTACTACAGAGGTGCACACGGTATTATCGTTGTCTACGACTGCACAGACCAAGAAACGTTCAATAATGTTAAACAGTGGCTGGAAGAGATCGATCGTTACGCTTGTGATAACGTAAATAAGCTGCTGGTCGGCAACAAATGTGATCTTCACACCAAGAAAGTCGTTGACTATACAACAGCGAAGGTGAGAGACAGGAGAATGATGTTAACCTTTGAATTGTACGCTGGTACTCATCGGGAAAAATTGGTATATTTTATGAACAGGAATACGCAGACCAACTTGGCATACCATTCTTGGAAACCTCGGCGAAGAATGCGATGAACGTAGAACAGGCTTTCATGACAATGGCTGCAGAAATAAAACTTAGAGTGGGTCCTCCGTCAAGTGGAAACAGCGATCCAGCAAATAAGGTGAAAATAGAACATGGACGTCCAATCGAATCCTCTAAGTCTGGGTGCTGCTGAGAAATGTAATTCTACGTCTCTGTAACCAAAGTAAGCTTTCCACTACGAACGGGAAAGAGTTCGTTTCATAAGTCGATACGCGCCAGATCGAATTGATATTGAATCTTCCGATTACAGAAGGACATCTTACGTGGTGGCAGTTTTGTACTGCGATTCAAAAAAAAGAAAAAAAACATTACCAGAAGGAGCATGAAGATCATGGAAGTTTCCGTTTATATCAATAAGAAAAAACGATGTGTGAAATATTATCGATTATGGACCACCAACTCTGTGACAGAGTTGAATGAAACAAGTTTCGTTCTGTCGTTTTTCCAACAAAGGAAAACATAATTATTCACATGCTAATATCTAGTGCAAAAAGATCGATTATAGAAACAGTTCGTCGAATTAGCATCGAGAATCATTGACTTTACGCAATGATACATTTATCG